TTGCCTAAAATATGTACTAATATTCTGGTTTAGAATTTCAGACAGAGAGAAGGAAATAACTGGTCTCCAGAATGAGTTAGATTCTTTGAAAGATGCTGTTGAACACCAAAGGAAGAAAAATAATGTAAGTAACTCTAAATAAAAATAAAACTACTTTTTATTCAACATTGAAAAGTTGCTTCAGAAATAATTTTTCTTAATCTTTGTAAGAAAGTACTATTGCTTTCTATGTTTTAACTTTTTTGATAAGAGGTGCATGATTAGAGTAATCATTTTATTGAGGAATAGATTTTTTAATAGGTAAAAGACAATTTTTACACATAGAAATATTTTAACTATTAAAGCTTTGGATTTTTTAACTAAAAATGTAATTGACTAAAATTTTAACTAAAAATGTATTGAACTTTTATTTGGAAAAATAAATCTTTCAAACTCAGTATTTTAAAATCAAAGATATTTACTCCTATTTAGATCAGGCTAGCCTTTTTATAGACTAAAAGTAATGCCAGTATTGATCAATAATTAAGTTTTCAGAGCCTTCTGGAGCTTTCCTTTTTTTTTTTTTTTAACTTGAGATGCAGTGCGTGTTTTGGTAATTAAGTTTGTTAGAAGCTCTAGAACCTGAATGCATTTATACTAAAATGAGAAGGAACAGTTCTTTAGGAGCTCTTAGTCTGGTATTCTTTCTGAGCAGACAAATGGTGAATTTAGGTGAATGTCATACATTTTCTCTTACCAGAGGTGATCCCTATAAATAGAGTCCAAAAATTCTTGCTCTAGGATGCATTTTTGTACATAAAAATATGATTAATAAGACCAAATTATTATTGAAATCTAAGGAGATGTTGATAATAAATATATATGTTATCTAGTATAAGTTAAACTTTTAAAAATTGGGGTCAAATTGTTAATTTAACAAGTTGGCATTTTCCTGCACCCCTGAGTTTGTCAAAATTAGGTATGTGAGTTGCTCTTCGTATGTCATATAACATTACTAACAGCATTGCTTAGCAACAGAACTTGAGGTGAACTTGCCAATATCCTGCTAACATATTAACTGTGTTTTATTGGGATTTTGAGATAAGGAGGGCATGGTAATGCCAGTTTAATACAGGAGCAGCAGCAATGGCAAAGGCACTGGAGGCCTTGAAGCGTGGAAAGAGCAAGGACACTGGAGGCCGGCAGAGTGCAGCGTCAGTCCATTCTAGTTCTGCCACTTCATTTACTTTGTATTGGTGGCCAGATTTCCTAACATTCAGTTATGGTTCCCTCTCTATAAAATGGGAATAAATATTATAAATTGTTGTAAGCATTAGCGAGAATTTGTGATATGCCAAATACAGTATTTGGCACCTAAGTATTCAATACATGGTGAATATTGGCTTTTTACTTTTGGGTTATATTTAGATTTCTGATTCTGAAGTAAGACTGAAAGTTAGCAGATTGTCTTTACTTATATTTGCTATTGAAATGCTGTTAAAATCAAGATCTTTTGGAGCTCAGTTTTTCGATGACCTTTGTTTCTCCTGTATGAGAACATGTTTTACAGTTTTCCAGCTGCCTATTTGCCTCACGCAACTAGTTTGTACAGTTTGTGTCAGGTTGGTTTTGTGGCATACACATTTGACCATGCCATGAAAGAAAGGGAGCACAGTAAATTACTGTGTCATTTTTAGGTATACTGGAAATATGTTAACTTTATTAAAACATTAAAGGAAAAAATGTGCTACAGTGGAAAGTCCCATGACGATATTGGGCCCTTTTAAAAATCACATGAAAAGCTTTTTGCAATACTTGTGTATTTGCTCTGTCCTTAATCTTCTAATGTTCAGTGTACCCGAAATCATACTTGTGATCTTGGTTTGTGTGTTTACTTTTGAATGCTTTCTTCTTTTTCACGTGTGCACAGTAATTACTTTTAAAGCTGGCATATTCGGTGTGTGTACTAAAACATGGAAGGCGAGCATCTTTATTTTCTCATTCAAACTTCTAAACATTGCTTTTTATTTTTTTGCTAATATACATACTTTCCCATTGAAATGATTTTGCAGTAACCAGCATTTAAATGCAGTGCAAAATACTGATGAAGTGAAAAGCAAAAATTTTTTAATAATGGATAAACTGAAATCATTCTTTCTAAAAATGATTAGGACCTTCGGGAGAAAAACTGGGAAGCAATGGAAGCATTGGCATCAACTGAAAAAATGCTGCAGGACAAAGTGAACAAGACTTCCAAGGTTGTAATGCTAACTCTTAGAAACAATCCACTGAACAGAGAAAATCTGCAGCTTATCTTAAAATCAGACTAAAGCATTTAATTTTACTGCAATTTAAATATAAAATCTTACCATCCACATTTATCATTTCTTGTCATTTCTGCTTTTTTCGTATACTCCTTGAGGCTTTAGTTTTGGGCATGCTTATTTGTTGGGATGATCTCTGTTGGAGCTTTTGCTGAAGAGTCTCAGAAGGCCTGTGCTAGGCACATAGGTTTTTTTCAGAGAGTGTGCCTATTGGGGGTAGTTAAGAGAACTTCAGTGAAAACCTCAAACCAAAGAAATCTAACTGTTTTAGCAGACACATACCTAACATGTATCTGTGATAAATAGCAAACAAGATTTTGGGGGAAGGGAGCTACACCAGGAAGACTCTAAGTAATGATAAGTCTTAAGGAATATAGGAAAGATATCAGTTCTGAGTATGTTATTAAAGATGATTCTTTAGGAGAAGGGGACTTAAACTTTGAGGCAGGTGGATAGTAATGACACATGAGTCATGTTTAAAATGGAATGTTAGTATCAAGCATTAATTATTTTGACCAGAGTTTGGAAAGTACTCCTGAAACACAATCCTCATTGTCTTCAGAACAATGAAGGACATTCTCCTTGAGCTTAACTTGTTTATTGGGTGTGAAGATTTGTAATGAATTATAACTAAGAAGTAGTTTTTAAAGATTGAGAGAATTGAATCAATGTGAAACAGGAGTATTGAATTTTGTAGATGGGTTAATGAAAGAACCCATATAATTTAATTCAGCATTCTTAAAGTGGTTTATGTGCCAAGGTAATCTGCTGAATTTTAAGTACAAATCTTAAGACATTTGAAGGCTTTTCTTAGCAGAATATAGTTTTACATTTCCCTTATTTGTTATTTACTTATATGCCTATTGACCTGATTGTAATTTTTACTAAAAGTTAAATTTGAAATAGTTGAGTAGGTATTAGGAGTGGAGAAATTTAGGCCACAGAGTAGAAAAATCTAGAATAGTCAAAGCATTATTGTTTAATTGTGAATGGTTGCAGTTGTATAGTCTCAGTTCTGCCTGTTTCTGTACTTTTGTTTTTCACTGTTAAGAGCTACCCTTTACCATTTATTTTGCTAGTAGTACTGGATGTCTAGAAAGTGCTAATCTTGCCATTCCTGTAAGAAGCTACCTGCCACCTTCGAGAGCATGTTTGCATATTATGTTTCTAAAAGAGAGCTAGATTTTGTATGCATGATGGCTTTTTGCACAGCTAATGATCTACAGAGAATAAAATGCAGTCTTCTCCATTTTAACAAAATTTAGACAGTCCTTAAATAGCATAGGTGTCAAGTGATATTGATTGACCCAGCCACAAATTGTATTGCAAGAAGTAACCATGTAACACATTTCAGTGATTTAGGTATTAGAAATAAGTAACAGTCAACTTACCAAAGATGTTAAGAGAGGGTGGCATACTGCCTTTCCAGGACTATTTTTAAAGTAAAAAATACTTTTGAGGAGCTACTATAAATGACAGGTTTACATGAAAGATATATACATACATACACACACACATACATACATATATGTACCACTTAAAGATGGTAAGGAAATTATAATGCAATATCCAACATTAGATCTTTTCCTGGTGTTGAAGTAGAATAATGGATTATAATCAAACCATTATGTCAAATGAAAACTTTTTAGCTAAAATTGTTAATACAGAATAAAAGTAACTTCTTGTTGGGGTGTGTGGTTCAATGGTAAAGCTTCCTAGGCTTGCCCTGGAAGTGTGATAACCCTGGGTTTGATGCTCATCCCTGAGGGTTGGAGGTGGGCAATAAAAGTAACTTCTCATCTTTGTAGCCCTTGTTAGAAGTTAGACACTGCTGCCCTGGTCAGAGACCCTGAAGGCTTAGGCAGGAGGATTTCAAGTTCCACCCAGCGGTAGCAACTTAGCAAGACCTTATCTCCAAACAAAAAGGATTGGGGATGTAGATAAGTGGTAGAATGCTTCTAGGTTTCCATCTTGCTACCACACAAAATAAAACAAAAAGAAGTTAAACATTCACTTTAGTTCTTTTTTTAAAAAATAAGTTTTCAAAAAGCTTCTGTTCCACAGTCTTTTCCTAACTAATTTTCTTTAAAGATTGCCTGTGATAATCACTGATCAAATGGTAAAAATTACCTCAAAATTGGGCAGGGCATATAGTCAGTTGGTAGACTGCTTGCTTTGCATGCACAAGGCCCGGGGTCGATCTCCAGCACCACACACACACACACACACACACTCACAAAAACACCCTCAAAATAGCCTCTGAAGTTGTTGTTGTTGTTGAATGACTACACCTTATTTTATGCTGGTGGGTGTATTTCTGCAATTTAGTGAACTTTGTTGAATTATTGAAAATGCCCCAGTAAAACAACTATTTGAAAATACTGCCAAAAGTCCTTAATAAAGTAATAGCAATATGATGAAATCTCTAGCTTTTTGTTATACAAATTTAGATTTTCATGTAATTAGATTTTCTTAAATTGAAATGTGTGTACCTTAAGTCAGTAATTGATTTCAAAGATCCATCTTTGATTAGAGAAAGATATAATTGAGATGTTGCTAGCATGTTTGCTTTCTTATCATTTGTTGAAACTCAGGAGTGTTGTTTTGTGATGATTTTCTTGGCTTGGTATAGATGTACATTTTTATAGTTTGTTTTTCCTTTTAAGGAGATAGTTTGATTATTAGATTTGGGGGGACAGGTGTGATCAAATCATCACCCTAATTTTGACAAACAATGGCTTTGAGTTTATTATCCATTGAAGTTGGATTTAGAATCAGCAACTTTAGATTTATACATTTGTAATACTTTAAATTTACAGCTGATGGAGTCCATGTACAAGTGTCAGAATTAGTCTTCTTTATGCTCAGCATTAGTGAAATAATGTCATTAGTTTTTCCTTGTTCTCTTCTTTCTCCCATTTTTTTCCACCCATGAATTTTTGGTGGTTCTTTTGTTTAGCATAAATAGCTTCACCTGACATCGAAGATGGAAATATGAAATTTCCCATTTTATTTTTAATTAATTACCATGGCATTATAGT